AATAGGTATGTATCAAAGTTAGGGCCAATGATTTAAACTATTCTTTAATGGATGTATAACATCTAAAGCAGTCTTTTAGTATACCTGCTGCAATTTATTATTCAATATAAAAGGAAGATTTTGGGAGGCAGAAGGAAAAACACTAAACACAAGGCTATAAAACGTACACACACACACACACACACACACACACACACACACACACACATATATATATATATATATATATATATATATATATATATATATATATAGAGAGAGAGAGAGAGAGAGAGAGATCCTCACATGTTTCTCTTGAAATATCTAGTTTTATAATTTATATTTATTCACATAGACTGGTATTTTTATTTCTGTGGTCTGTATTAGTATTCTGACTGCCCCTTGGAAACCATTGTTAGTATTCTGACACACCCCTTGGCACTGCCCTGCATCCTGACTTAAAAGCCTCATTTTGGGGAAAGGCCCCTCCCCTTCCTCTCTTCTGCCTTTCCTCCCATGAGGTGCGCACCCTCAGTCCCTCTCTCTCTCTTCCTCTCTCTTTGTTCCCTCTTTCCTATCTTCCCCTTTGTCTCTTTATTATAATAAACCCTTCCCTCACAGATGCAGTGACTGAGTTGTGAATGACGGTCCACCACCACCCCACCACCATCCCACATAGCATGGGTCACCCGCCAGCCCACTGCTACATTTGCCCAGCATGCCAGCATGTTTTCCTGCATGTGTGGGACACTCTCAGGGTCCCCTGTGTGCAATATATCGTAACACTGGTGTTAATGACTCGGCAGAGGTCCTCCTGGTGCATTTCTCCTGCCTGCCGGCAGTCTGAGACACACTAGGAGACCTGGAACCTTCAACATTCACCTCATCCAACACCAGCATAATTGGTAAGCCTCCCTTTTGGGCATTTCCCCACAACTGAGGAGTCACTCCTTGCTCAATCGTGGTGCCAGCACCATGTGTCTTTCGTGCTTTCAGCCTTTCGGCCCCCATCTCGATGCAATGGCATATGGAGACAGCCTGTGCCCTCTCAATTCCATGGCCCATAGCCTTTGTGATGATGGTCCATTGGCTATCTTGAGCCATTCATCGGCCCTCACTGACCCTCTGGGACACTGGGGGTCAGTCTTCTGGGCCTCACACATCACCGTGGGAAACGTGCCTGTGGCCCTCCACCTCCACCACTGCTGCCGATCCGTGGCTTGGCTTCGTTCCTCTGCAACTGCTTGCACAGCCCGAGGGATCCCTCTCTCCCATGCGGCTGCACTGTTACTCTGTTTCCTGATCCCCTCCAAGCTCCAAGGCATTAACCATATAAGTTTCCCAGAAAAAAAATTTCTCTGTATTTCTTTCACAATGTCTATTTCCTAGGTGTAAATGGAAATGTATGATTGTTATTGCCATCTATATTTCTAACTGACTTTTAAATGCTTCAATTTATCTGTTTCTTATCTGCTCAGTTTATTTTGGGAAAAAAAAAACCCACACGAACACATGGTCAGGTGCCATATTTGATAGGGGTGATCAGATGGTCAGGTGGTGCCATCTTAAGTAAGGGCAATTGCATGACCAAGGCCCCATGTTAAATAAGAGCAATCTCATGGTCAAGCCACCATCTTAAATAAGATCAAAACAGACAGGTCATATGGCCTCACTACCATCTTTACTAAGGGTAGCAAAAAGTCACTTCCTGACTCAGTTGTGGGCAAGGCCAACATGTTCCTATGCTGAGATAATTTGGCAAGAGTAATAATGCTTAAGAGATTTTAAGTCTTTTAAAATGCCATGTACTTTATTTTTAATATTGTAAGAAGACATTTGAGAGTCTTGAACCTTTCCTTGGGAGCAGTTTTTAGGGAATGATTCAGGACATAAATACCAATTATATATACTTTTTGACATAAATCTGTAATTCTCCTAGAACTCAAAGGTACGAGTCTACTTCTGCTGTTTTGCACATACTCATTGTCTGCTCTTCTATGGTACAGATTTCAGCACTGATTGATAATACTAATTTATCTAAAACTTTTATTCCCTTTTATAAAATAAAAATTCATATAAGCCTCAGATGATCAAAAGAAGCCATTGGATCCACTTGACAGAGGTCAAAGGAGCTCCAGATAAATGAGTTTCCTCACAAGTCTGTTCCTGAGGATGGTACTTCTCTCCCTCCTGGTCTCCATTTAACAATCACTAAGATCATGAGCCAAGAGGTTCCAAATCAATTCATAAATTTTAATTCTGTCTCTAGCCTATATTTCAGCAGGCTGGTAGAAATGTCAAAGCAACAGTTGTGGACCACAATCTACAGCACTTTCTCTGCTACAGATGCCAGCAGAGACTCTTGTCTATGTGATGTGGACCAGCCCAGCTAAACATGTTCTCTGTCTCTACAGCTGGGTCAGATGACCACATACTTCTGATAAATACCCCATTTCCTGGGTTCCCTCCTTACCTTTGACTAGCCAGGGTCCTGACCACCCGAGCCCTGTTTTAGCTTGAAGCAGCTATGAAGAATACGTCATCCTGTGCTTCCTATTTGCAGGACAGGGTGGAGGGCTTTTTTAAGGATGGAACCCCTGGCATAGAGTCCACCAAAAGGATCTTTTTCCTTTCCTCAGAATTGGGTCATACCCTGACTCACAAGCCCTTTTTCTCCTGTTTCCCCGTCAATCTTCTTTGCCTTCTCAGAAGACAGCTTAAGAAATAATTATTTCTATATTAGTCATTCATGATTACAATCTGGCTGCACTCAAAGATCAGAACGACAGCTATAGGGCATTAAAATGGTGATAGATTCAGATATCACAGCTAACAACTTAAGAAACGTCTCTCCTTACTCAAAGTCTGTTCAGACTCAAGAGTATAAGCCTCCCTGTCCTTGCTAACTTCATTGAGCTGTGACTGACTAGGAAGCCTGTGTATTCAGATTTAATTTATATACGCTCTCAAAGTTAATTTAATTTAGACATCTAACAGATTTTCTTTCCCCAGTCCTCAAACCCTGTAGAGATATGAGAATATGAGAACATGGTATTCAATATAAAAGCCTTTTTTATGATAGAAAGACAGGTCATCTCCTGGCAGCATCCTGTATCTCCTCCAAGAAGATAGATGGTCACAGAAGAACTTCTACCCAGAAGCTCATAGCAAGGCTGGCTGCACAGTGAAAAGCTGAGATCCTGTCCAGACTGTGAATAAGAGGAGCAGCAGGGATCAACTGTCCTCTCTGCCAAGACAGGTAGGATGATCTCTCCAAATCTGTCAGATCTTCAGGGCTATCAGCTGAACAAGTGCTGCCTTTGGAGCTTCTGCCCCACCCCACCCCCACCCCCACCCCCAATGACCACGGAGAGACTTAGGATTGCTGCCTAGGTAGCTGGAAAGTTGTCTCACTTCTTACATTTTTCCTTCTCAGATTTGACAAGGCTTGATAACTAGGGTGTTAGTTTAACAGCCCCAATCCCAAGATTTATATATATGCTCTCCAGTTACAGACAGGTATGCCTCATTCACAGACTTCATGGTACAGGATAGACTGGTTTCACATATAACTCCAGAGGTTCAAAGTTTTAATACTGATAAATGTAACTTTGATAAACTGATAGAACACTGACTACAAAGAGTACTTAAGAGTCCTAAAATGGATTTTTAAATCTTTTGCTATGATTAAAATCCATTCCAGCTGTCGTACAGGTAACTACAGGTTCCTGGGAAAAGTTCTGCTACTGTATCAAGAAATCTGGTCTGATGAAAACTAGCAATCTCCAGAGCCCATTTTTGACCTCCCCATTTTCTAGCATATTTTGCAATTTCACTCCTCCTGTCTGGGCCAAGGTGCTCTCCAGATACTCCAGCCACTGCACCAGCTGGCACCAGCTGGACAGATGAACCCCCACCTCCAGAGAAATGGCAGATGTGATGGCTCCTGCACTCTTAAGAACACACCATCCCTAAATTCACTGCCAGTACCAGCTTCCCAGGCTCAGGCAGGCAATTGCCCAGCATCTGGAACCTGGTTTTTCAAGACATCCCAATAAAGGACGTATTCGCTCTCATGTCTGACTCATTCACCCTTGCCTCTTCGGTACAACCAGGGCACTTCTCTGTTCAGACACCTGAGATCTCCATGACGACAGCCAACTCTGCTTCTTCACTCATGTCTCCCACCATGCATGACTCCTGGTTTCCCCCTCCCCACTTCGCCCCTTGTCAGTTTGAAGCAGTCGGAAATTCAGCACCCTAGTCCCCCCCCCACTCACTATTCATAGCTCACCTTTTATAATAATCAAAACAGAGGGATGTTAATATTCTGACCTGGTCCTTGGAAACCAATGTTAATATTTTGACCCCCTGGCACTGCCCTCCATCCTGACATAAAAGCCTCATTTTGGGGAAAAGTCCCTCCCCTTCCTCTCTTTCTTCCATCTTTCTTCCCACAAGGTGAGCACCCTCAATTGCCCTCTCTCTCTTTTCCTCTCTCTTCCTTGTCTTTCTCTTAGTCTCTCTATTATAATAAACCATTTCTGCAAAAATGCAGCATCTGGGTCATGAATGACTGTCTTCCACTGCCCTGATGCCATGCCCGCATGGTGTGGGTTGCCCACCAGCCTGCCGCTGCTTCTGCTCAGCATGCCAGCATATTTCCCTGCATGCATGAGATACCCTCAGGGTCCCCCGCATGCAATATGTCATAACAGTCTGTATGTTTGGAATAATCACTGATAGACAAAGGAGTTTTTAAACATTTCATAGGCATTATCAAACTGCTTTTTCAAACATCTGAAGAGTTTATATTTCCATCAGTTACAGGACAGGATTTTAGTAGAATCTTGGCAAACAGTAGGTACTTTTGCTGTCTGCATCTTTCTGTGTTTGTTTTGTTTGTGTATTTGTTTTGGCCAATTAGAACAGCGATCAGGAAAGTTGTAGATCCTGAAAGGGAAGAAGATAGCCATGAGTATGAGCTGGGATGAGGCTGGGGGAAAACAACTGACTATTGGTTTTAAGTAAAATGCTGTACAAATTTGCATGTCATCCTTGCACATGGCTCCTGATAATCTTCTCTGTAGTGTTCCCATTACAGTATAGGTGCTGTCAAAGCCAGCACTGAGTCTTTCTATAGAGGTGATGCATCACAACAATGCTTTCTGTGATAACAAGAAGACGTGATGGAATGCTTTGGACCAGGAAATCCACTCTAGTGTTCTCATTCTGATATGTAGCTCTGCTGTCTCACTGGAATTCCCAAACAATAAACACATGCTATTAGTAAGGTGTTAAGAACAAGGGCCTTCATTTCTCTTTCTCTCAGATCTTTCCAAGCATCTTTCAGTGTTGTTCCCATTTTTGTTCTGTTGTATTTGTACTAAGCTATTATTGATAGCAACAATAAAGAGGTAGTCTGTAGTGTTTGTAATTCCAATGTAGAAATAGTCGTCTTTAAAAGTATAATCAGCCGGGTGGTGGTGGTGCACACCTTTAATCCCAGCACTCGGGAGGCAGAGCCAGGCGGATCTCTGTGAGTTCGAGGCCAGCCTGGGCTACCAAGTGAGTCCCAGGAAAGGCGCAAAGCTACACAGAGAAACCCTGTCTCGAAAAACCAAAAAAAAAAAAAAAAAAAAAAAAAAAAAAAAAAAAGTATAATCAATCCACTTTCCTTTCCCTGATCCCATCAAAGAAATGAATTAATTCCAGAATCATACTAATAAGAGAAATCAAATGGAATTCATCTTTTATCTCTCATAGGCAGTGGAAAAGTCATTACCCAAACCCTGGCCAGTGGAGGCCAGTTCCTTCTCCTTCATCTTGTCCTCAGTGAGTTCCCCATCACCAGTGACCATCCATCTCCTTCATCTTGTCTTCAGTGAGTTCCCCATCACCAGTGACCATCCATCTCCTTCATCTTGTCCTTAGTGTCATTCACACTTGTCATTTGTACATGCATTGTCTGAGACTTGAATGCCTCCATGCAGCAGAGATGGGGAAACACAAACTTTTAAAATTCAGACTAGTAGACATAGGACTGTTTCATATAAATTCATCCAAATGGATTTCTTGAGAGATGAGTCTCAACTTCTAAAGTACTAGGCATTAAAATATTTAAAAGATTTGTTTTATTTTGTGTGTACTAGTATTTTGCCTGAATGAATGTCTTTTCACCACATATGTACTTGTGGTGAAAATATGTAACTTAGGAAAAGGTGTTGAAAATCCTGAACCATCACATTGGTGCTGGGAACTGAATCAGGATTCTTTGAAATAGCAACAGATTTTTTTACCACTGAGCCATCTCTCCATCCCCAACTGTCATGAACTTTTAAAGGAGATCTTCTAGATTATTTATAAGCTAAATTCTGTGATTGCCTTTACTGAAGATGTTATACAATGGGTAAAATTCACTTATTACTTCATTGTCTATTCTATTGCTTGGTTCACTAATAATTGCTTATATCTTTTTAACTATCACATGGTAACACTGTATATTTTATGGGGTATAGTGCCTTAATACAATTTTCATATATGTACATAATGGTCAAATCAGGTTAATGGACATTTTCAATTTTTTTCTCACATGCCTTAATATTTGTATGCTTGAAATCCAGTTCTTTCAAAAATATATAATGTTGTTAATCTTAGATATCTCACGATGTTGCCGAATATCAGATGTTATCTAACATAACAACTGCATTCTATAGGTATTTTTGGATCTTCCTATACTTCTAATTCTATCTTCCTTCCCCAAGCATCATTATTGTACTCTTTTTTGAAATCAAGTTTTATTGAATTTACAGATGACTAACAATATACAGAATTTGTCCTTGGGGCCCTGGCTTACTCCACTTAATGTCTTCTAGTTACATTCATATTGTCACAAAAGAAAAGATATCATTCTTTTTATAGCTGAATAATATTCCATTTTTCATTTACATATTTTCCCTATCTGCTCATCTGCCACCAGACATCCCAATTGATGTCAAAAACAAAACAACAACAAAAAGAAACATCTATGATCTTCACTGCTTTGGAATTTAAATTTCCACCAACAGTATACAAGGTGAATGATTTTTTTCTTATGACTGTTATCTACTTGTATATTTTAACAACGTCTATTTCTATTATTTGTTCATTTTTAATCAGATTGTTCATCCTGTTGTCGTTGTTGAGGTTATTTTATATTCTAGTACACCCTGGATGTGGATCCCTTGTCAGACTAATATTTTCCTTTTTTTCCTAGTCTGCCAGGTATTGCTTCAACCTTTCAGTTGTCTCAGTTTCTTCCATCCTTCCCATTGGCTGTGTAAATGCTTCATAGTTTGATTCATCTCATTTGTCTGTTGTCTATATCCATAATGCAAAGTCTTCCCCCTATGTTTTCCTCTAAAGTTCCATTACTTTAGACTTTGCATATAGATCTTTGAATAACTTTGAGTTTGTATAAAAGGGAAGAAGAGAGTGGGGATCTAGTTTGATTTTTGTGCTTTTGGATATCCCGTTTTTTCCTAGTGACACTAACTGAAGAGTGATCAGTGCACCACACAAATGAGGCATATCCTGTTGCCAGAATACTTCCCGTGGATTCTCAAAGTTCACAAGCCATTACTTCTCATCACCCAGCCCTACACCCTCCTTTACTGTAAAGTACATTTGCCTCAGGGACTCAGTGGCTAGCACCAAGTCTAGTTTTCACTAACAATGAGAAATGTGGGTCATTAGCTTTACATTAATAGATTGGATTCTTTCTTCTGTGATAGAAAATCAAAGTTCCACACCACTGAAAAAACCTATGTGACATGGCTTCACAGGATCGATCTTCCTACAAAGGTGTTGACAATGTAAGCAGGGTTAACTAAAATCCTTGTAAGAATGCAAAATCTTGGCCTCCTGCCTGCATGTACAGCATTTTATTCACATCAGACAAAGCCTCCAACCCATCATATCAAAGCACTCATGGAGATTTAGAGTCACGTAGCATACTGCTGCCAGAAACCAGATCACTGACCACATTGACAGCATTCATCAGGCCTCTTCCCACTACAGGGTCTTTTGCAAGGGAGGGGAGACACAACAGATTAAAAAGCCATAAGCAGGGGCTTGGAAGATGGTTCTGTAGTTAAGAGCACTAGTTGTTCTTACAGAGAACCCTGGTTTAACTCCCAGGATCCACTTGGCAGCTCACAACTGTCTGTAACTGCAGTTGAAGAAGAGATCCCCTTTCCTGGCCTCTGTGGTCACCAGACAAGCAAGTGATGCACTTAATTAGGGTTTCTATGCTGTGGTAAAATACCACAACCAAAATCAAGGTGGGGAGGAAAGGGTTTGTTTGACTTAAACTTCTACATCTAAGTCCATCATTGAAGCAAGTCAAGACAGGAATTCAAGCAGGGCAGGAACCTAGAGGCAGGAGCTGATGAAGAGACCATGGACAGGGGCTGCTTACTGGCTTGCTCCACCGTGGCTTACTCAACCTGCTTTCTTAGAGAACCCAGGACCACCTGTCTAAGTGTTGCTCCACCCACAATGTGCTAGGTCCTCCCACATCAATCACTAATTATGAAAATATCCTAGAGGTTTGCCCACAGCTTGATCTTATGGAGGCATTTTCTCAGTTGAGGCTCCTTCCTTTCCAGTGATTCCAGCTTGTGTCAGTTGACATAAAACTAGCCAGCACATGCACAGACATACATACAAGCAAAACAACTACTCACATATTTTTTTTTGTTTAAAATTGAAAACCATTATAAGAGCAGTATGCGGAGAACACTGATGTGTTATAAAGGGGTGCAATTTGATAACAAATTGATAACAAATGGAAAGATCACTAAGCGCAGGCCTTACCGTGACAAGTCTGTCTCCTTAGACACAATGAGAGCTGATTAGTAAAAGGGGGTATGGATGCTAAAAGTAACTCAATTTAGATATTCACTGTAAGAGCCTGTTGTGTCCTCTACAGCCAGAATGGAATCTAATGATAAAACATAGGAGAAATCCACTAGTAAGACTTTGAATGACATCTCTCAAGAAAAGAATTACTTCTGGGACTTTCTGTCACTTTTGAGATCACTTCTGAAGGATCAAACTTCAAATAAAAACCTTATCAAGAGCTCTCCAACAGAAGCCAGTATTCTAATTATGTCTTCTACTTCTAACCAAGGCACACTGCTCTTCTGTAGTGACTCCTAGATGAGAGGTCAATGTGGTAGTAACCACAAATACGTACTTCATGCTCCTACAATTTCACAACAGCACACACACTAAGTATTTACTCCACCTGGATGAGAAATGAACACCTTCAAAACAAAACATCATGGCCCAGGAAGAATTTTTGCCTTTCTTTCCAAAACCTGGGCTTTTCTATCCCAGTAACTGGTCTACCATTTACTTGTTTAAATCAAAAATTGATATCTGAGGGGACCCTGCAGGTGGTCACAGCTGGCAGAAAAGTGAACAGTAAAGAGATGAAAATAGAAACTGGGTTGAGGTTGACTTTGTCAACCTGGATCATCTGATGCCAGGCAGTTCATTGTCAGCATATTTAAAACATAGTACAACTTGGAGGCAAAAAAAAGTTTCCTGGTGTACAAGTCAGCATAATTACTCAAAACTCAGCTTGGGGTTCATGTCATTTCTTCCAAGAAGGTGGGTTCTAGAGGTAGGATGCCTGTATTAGCTTAAGGGCCCAAGGAAGGATTTAGTCTGGACTTGGTCATGCAGAGATTATAGAGGTCATTTGGGCAACCTCGGGTCCTGGTTGCAGGAGCTTGGGAGAGCCTCTAGCTATACAGAAAATGTAGGGGTCATTTATACTATTAGGTATCTCTGGTCCTGGTTGTGGGAGCTTGGAAACCCCCTGGCCGTTAGAGTCCTTTATATTACTAGGTATCTAGGGTCCTGTTTGCAGGAGCTTTATATGACCTGACCCAACAGATGGCCAGGCGATTGATCACTTCCAATTCCCAGCATTCTCGACAGAAGAACAGGCATATATATATATAATCTTTCCCATTGGAAGGACAAACCTGCACATTTCTACATGTTTCTATGGAGATCTGTAGATGCAAAGACCTTCACTGTGCTCCCAACAATATTCCATGCCTTATTTTTCCATCTGGATACTCAGCAAGAGGAATACAAACTCAATCTCTAAAAATGTCAACACTCACTTCCCTCCCCTTCCACCAAGACACACATTCATCTACCACCACACCGTACACAGTGGCCTGTGACAAGACTTCTCCTAGGTCATCATGCTTCCCCTCCTTCTACTTTATAGACCATTGTTCCAGGGCTAAACATGACAATGTAAATAACAAATTGAAAATGCCAACAAATCCTGTCCAACCACCTTCTCCAAGCATTTCCCAAAGCCACAGTAAACACATTAGTTTCATGTCCTGGCTGACAAAGTCCTCCATACTGTGATTGCTTTTTATGGTCCAGTTCAGGTCATTGCCTTCTCCTTCTCCACAAGCTGATCCAAGACTGCCTTTTATTCATGCTCTACCACACGAATTCAGGTATGACACATCTCTTGTTTATTGTAATTGTTATGACTTTCTAATGCATCCTGAGAGCCAGGAGTCTATCAGTGTCTTTCAATGCTACATCCCCAATGCCTACAGCAGACTCTTACTGAGTGTGCTCAAAAAACATCTGTTTGGGAAGGAGGGAGAATAAAGGTTATTTCTCACCATGAGTTTGCCTATAATTTTCAAGAGAAGTGGTTAGTGGTTTACAGCAATAACAGAAACCTGATTTCCAACCAGACATTAATTGGGATGCCTGCAAGTCCTTGGTGACCCCCAGGTCCAGGAAGAGATGGGTCAGAACACCATTTGTTTACACAGATGTTTGTGCATGTGGGACTTTTATGTGAAATCAACCACCAATCATATGTCTTCTGCAAGATAATTATGCAGTAAGGGTGAGGTCCAACCCTCAAAATATTTGAAAGCTCCAAGAAATAAAACTAAAATTCTATTTGTAGAAATCTATAGCTGGCTTATTTAGCAATAACATTTACAATAGCTGAGTTTAATAGTTTTAGGGTGGTTTTATTTTCATAATATTCTCCCAAGGGCATTCCCTTGAGAATTTTTAGAAGTAAAGGCAATGAAATACATGCTAGATTAATAAATTAAATAATATTTACTCGGCTCAGCCATCTTGGTAATCTTGGCATAACCTTGGCACATTTCTTGACGTCTACACAGCTTTTCCCAGTCATCTCTGAACTGAGGAAAACATTGGATTAGTGACACAGGATTGTTGAGTAGACAAATATATGTAGACAAGTCTATCAGAGCTAGGGGTGCTGGGAGAGCTCAAATGCTTCCAGCCATTGTGATGAATAACTTATCAGTGTTCCACTGTTCCAGAGCATGAAATTCTAAAATACTTTGAGTTTGGATTGTTGTTGCTATTAATGTACCTAAATTTATTTTATCCAAGTGTTCATGTGTACATACACACATGTGTGTGTGGGCACACATGTGGTGGTCAGAAGACAATTTTCAAAAATCATTTCTTTCTTTCTATCATCAGGCTCAGCAGCACGTCTCTACCCTTAAGTCATATCTCCATCTTGTCATTGCTACATTTTAAGGAGTCCTTTAACAGCCTTTTCAATCCTTTCTTCTCATCATAACATGGTGACTTCAGGAAGGTAAGGATGATAAGGAGTACCTATACTTGATACTTTCTTATACATGGGAGATGTGCACAGGCTTCAGAAAAGAAAATGCTGCCTTCACAAATCATGTGGATCTCATTGGAAATGTTAGTTTGGCATGTATCTGACCATTTAGGGTTTACTCCAGAAAACAACTCACTGTGAATAATCTACCATAAAGACCAAACTCACCTAAGACTCCCTATGAGGATGCACACAGACACTTACATTATGATTGCAGGCTAACTCAGTCAAAATTCATTTTTTATTGTCAATATTATTAAGGTATTCTGAGACTTTATTGATACCTTTTACACCTGAATTATAGCATAATATTAAAAAAATGCAGCATAATACACAAAATAAGAAGTTACTGGATGAAAGAAATTCATTAAAATACTATAGAGGCAGAGGGATATTTTATTGTATCAAATTGGTCTTAAAAGGAAGGAATTCTGAAGAAATACCGAACAGTGATGGCTATGGGCTTGAAAAAAAGAAGAATTGAACAGACAGCAGGCATGGTGTTATATATGACTGCAATCCCAGCACCAGGAAGCTGAGGCAGGAAGATTGCGGCAAGATCAAAGCCAGTCTGAATAACAGAGTGCACTCCAGGACAGCTTGGGCTAGGTAGCAAGCCCCACCTTCCCCTGCCTCACACCCCCCCAAAAATTATATGTGTCCTCTTGAATACATGTTAGTGTCATGGCAACGCCTTAGGTGAATACTAATAAAGGAAATATGTGCCTTTCTATTTCTCAGTGATGCTCCTTATTATCTAGTGGATACTGTATGTTAGACTGGCACATACATCACATCTGTGTCTCACTGCTATGGCCACATTTGGCAATGTGGCCAAGTAATATGCTCAGGAATGGCTCATAAAAAAGGAGAGTGTCTATATAAATGCTATGTATACATGTATACACACATGTGCATGTGCAAATGTATACATATATATAAGTCAGTAAATATCACTTATTAAATAGGTACTATATAGCACTGATTGTTCTACAGCCATTTATTAAATAATGTGCCAAGAGTTCAGAATTGAACTACCTAGCTGAGATTTACCACCCAGGTTTAGGCATTGATTTATGCATGCATCACAGTGGGCCTGCTATCTCTATACATTATCATTTACATATATACATCTATATAGTTAAAATAATAAATATCTATGCCTATAAATATAGCTGTTGTAGCTATTTATCCATTGATCTATCTGTTATCCACTACCTATCTATCCAGTTGACCCCAGATAGTGCCTGCTTCTGAACAGCCTGTTCTCAGCCTTCACATCAGTGTTGTTCTCTGGACATGTACATCCAGATAACCGTGTTACAGAAAAAAGCAACTTCAGAGTTCTGAGCTTGGCTCACCCTGTGACCTGATAGTCATGCCATGCTGTGCTATTTTTGTGTGTAACACAGTAGACTTCTTGAAGATGACACTGATAAAACTCTGCTGTGACATTGATAGTAGTTTGAGCATCGATCTACGAAATGTTAAACACCAGGAAGGAACTGCCACCTGACCCTACAGTGCAGGGCACGACCACTCTGGGCCGTGTCTATGTATATCTTACACCTCACTTCCATTTCGTTCCCTTTCAGAATGAACAGCCAAGTTATGCACAGTGGTCTAAGATGAACATCCCAGCACTAGAGAGGCTGAGGCAGGGTGATGGTGAGTTTGAGGGCAACCCAGAATAGAGAAAAAGAATCTTACTCAAAAACAAAACAAAATGACATTCATTAAAATAAGCAAGACAAATACTTTGGAAGAATGGGAAGACCATCTTAGCTTTTATGTGGCTGAGAAGGGTGGTCGCTCATGCTGGAAAATAGCAAAGGCCGTTCACAAAGGCAGTAAAGAGTTCAACAACGTGGGGACAAGCCTGAGATGCCGTCAGCAATAATTAACTAATTTTTTTATTATAAGATCATATAATAAATGTATCACATGAATGGTAGCCCACTTAGGAGTCTAAGGGAACACATTTTATTACACTTCTAATCATTTGATAAGACAAGCTTATAAAATTTCATCTGGGTAACTATATTAAATAACACCTGTGACACAGTTCAACACCTGCTGCACGCCAGAGTGCCCAGTACTGAGGAGATGAAAACAATAACCAAGCCAGAGTCGCACAGTTCGAAAAGAATGAAACAGATCTATATACAAAATATGGCAAGAGCTACAGCTTGAAATCCCCTTTGTATAAAATTACGAGAGGAGCATGATGCAGATGGGGTACAACTTAATTCGTCAGGGCATGAAGAGAGAGGAAAAGCCCATGGAGGATAGGGTGCTGAGAGCTAAGGATTGGTGAACTAGCAAATATCCACCTGCTAGACAATGGAGGGGAAAGCACACCAAATGTGCTAACTGTTTGGGATTCAGGAAGAGCCCTGTTCTTCCTCTTTCACACAAGCTGACAGATGTCTAACTGTGCATGACCAAATTAGAAACAAGGCTGTATCTATTCAGGTTGGATTGCCCCTGCCCCCCCCCCACAATGCAACACTCATCCATTTATCAATGAATTAATCCATATATTAAATAAATTATTATTATTAACAGCCAATTAGGTTTTGAGGAAGTCATTATCATCCATCAAAGGATGGAGCAATATAAAAATATAAAACACCCTTCTTTAGTGGAGCTTACACTAGAAAAAGACCAGCGCATAGACAAACTTATAAAACAGTATATTGAATAAATCAGAGATGGCTAAAGAGTTTAAGTCAGAAAAAGAAAATAGTAAGATTGTTTTAGAATTAGTAACTTGGTCAGGAGTAGCACAAGGAATCATGACTAAGAAAACCTGAAATAGCAGATGCCACAGCATCCATGTTGATGTTCAGATACCAGATATACAGATACCGAGTGCCACAGACTGTTGGCACTTGGTATCTGGTCTATCATTCTGTTAATGGTATGCCTTCATTCTGTTAATGAAGTTTGTAAAGAGCTAGTCAACATATCACACTAGAGAAAGAAAGTCAGATGGAACCAGTGATGGGGAGAAGGGTGGGGAAGAGGATGAAGAAGGAGGAAGAACTTTAGAGGCAGTGAAGGTGTTTTCACAGAATGAAACAGAGCCACTGAAGGATGCCGAGCAGGGCACCGCAGAGACAACCAGGAGGCAAGAGGAGGTGGACAGATCATCCGGAGGCTGGAAACATAGCAGGAGAGATGGGGAGACCAGGAGGAGACCAGGAGGCACAGAGGAAGAGGAGGGGGAGACCATGAGGAGTCTACTTGGGTCACTAAGAAAAAGATGCTCGGAGGAGAGAAGAGAATGTAACAACGAAAATGCCGAAAAGTGGTAGATTTTAGATTGATGGGGGGGGGGGGTTAGTGATGATATTTATTGACAGCTTGAATGTAGTATGGGATGCAAAGGGCAGAGCCAAGCAGTATTTCACACCTAGAGCCTTTGCAACCAGAAGAACGCACTCGCCTTTAGTGTAGTGGAGAACACACAGAACGTGGGGAGAAGAAAGGGAACCCAGGCTCGGCATGCTCCTCAAAACACAATTTGTCATCTAATCTCTGAGACCACGCAGGCAGTGACATGGACAGTTCTAGGGCTTGCGACTGCAGGTCCTAGAGGGGGTAGACATGAGAGTCACCGGTGTTTAAACGGCACTAAAGCAACTAGACTCCGTGGGATGCTGAAGCAATGAGAACCGTAGCTCCAGTTACTGAAGCACGTAAGACTCGCATGGCTGGGTGGCAGAGAGCTGAGGCTGGGACGAAATGAGCCGAGATGAGAGGTGAAGACCACGCTGTTCACGGATGTTTGGAGAGGGGGATGAGTGGTGCGGCCACTGATAAGATTCACTTGTTCCGATAAGTGATCTCTCACCCATGCTCAAGCAAGGAACTCTAATTGAACTCAGTGGGCCACATATAAAAATAAGGCAGGAAAATAGGAGGGGGACTCGCTGGGAAGGATGTTAGTGGGAGAGGGGAGGTGATGAGCGAGGGGAAAGAAGATGGGTGTGACTAAAATGCACTCTATTAATGATGAAACTGGCAAATAGTATATACGATTCTTAAACAGATGGGGAAATACTCCAAGGAGGGATCAAGGGCACAAATACTGCTGACTACTAAGTGTGAAGCCAACTGAATCTCGAGCGCCAAATTCAGCAGCGTGGCAGTTTGGTCTTCCTGACAAGGCAGTGCTAGCAGATGATCAAGGGTGGGCTCAAGAGGAACTGGAGAAAAGGCATGTCACGGAAACACTATTAAGGAGTTTTATCTTCACATATGTGGGTTGTGTGTGTGTGTGTGTGTGTGTGTGTGTGTGTGTGTGTGTGTGTTTAGGGGGTACATGGATTAGAACTATACAAGAAACTAGGGTTCACAGGTCAATGATTAAAGTTGAGAATGTTTCCACTCTTAATAGAACGATAACAGGAGATGGACAATAAAACCTGAAGAGCCTGCAAAAAGGGAAGAACTGAAGAATGATAAAAGCAAATGAACAAACAGCTCAGTCACACTCTGGTCACAGCCTCAACCACAATAAACCAGAGTAGGCAACACTTGGGCGGTTCTGAACCCACAACTTACTGCGCGCCTGTCTTTTCATTATACCTGTAGCAGGGAAACCTCCTGCATAGAAGGCAGAAGCAATGGTCCCCACAAGGAATACGGTCTCTGCACAAAGAACAGAGTAGCCACCCAAAATATGTGCACTTGAAAAAAAATGTCTAAGAATCTGAGGCATGTCAAATACTTTAGGTCTGCCCACTTAATTCCTCCACAATGAAACGTAAGCACTAAATATCCCTGGACACTGTTATCTGAAATCACAGTGGTGTTCACTTCCCAGAACTGCCCAACCATCTTTTCCAGTGGTTTTTGTGCACTGGCATCCCCAGCATGATCTTTGCCCAGAGCTCTAAGCAAAAGTAAATGAGGTAAAATGACCTCCCTTTGTGGCCTGATTGACAGAGACACAAACACACAAAAGCCACATGAAAGTGGCGGATAAGCATGAGCTGTTTAGGACAGCACCCCTGCAGCAGAGAGGCCTCTCTCATGGTCTGATGTGGAAACAACGCAGGAAACCCCTCAGGGCCATCAAACCCAAACGCCCAATCATAGGCACTTATCCCTTTGGGCATGTTCTGTCAAAGGATCCCACGCATAGTTCAACCGAGGAGGCAGTGCCTTTCTGGCACATATAAATCTACAAATCCCAGCAATTAACCCCCATACACATCTGCCTCACTAATGGGTATCTGAGAATAAACAGCACACAGCCACACAGCCACATACACACACACACACACACACACACACACACCACTCCCTGCTTGCCTTGCATCACGGAAGGAAAATGGATAGTGGACTTCACCACACATCTGTGACAATTCACGAATGTTTACAGCAGGCATAAAGCTGGTGACCACCAGGCTGAGAGCATGTTTGGCAGGCGCTCACATAAACAAAAGAAGAAGGAGGCCACAAGCCCAAACAGAAGAGACCAGAATAGGAGACCAGGCTCACAGGTGCCAGGATGGGAATTCTGGCCATTCTAATGTGAATAATGAGAACAGACAACCTTCCCGCTAGTGAACTTTGGTAGCATAGAGTGGAAGGCATGTGACTAACAGACGTGTCTGCACAGGCCTCTCTGGATCACATCACAGAGATTTTCCACTGGATGGACAGACAAAAGGACAGGCATAATAAGGAGTGACATTATTCAGAATGGCAGGCTAAATC